TGTGAGAAATCACACACAAGTGGCCTGGAAGTCTGGCTTCAGTACAAACCAACACTCTCATTCGCCATATGTCTCGATTGCCTCCTAGATAGGGAGTCCTTTGATATCTTAATGATTATCAGCTTTTGAGAACAAACAAACCCCTGTGTTTCAATATCACATTCACAAGAGACACCAATACCCACCGACAGATCAATACTCATGCCTAATTTTTGTCATATTTAGATGGGACACGCACAATCTTCCAATCAAGCCCAAACATGATTTGCGAACAAAGGGGGATCTACAGCATGATGACCTGAAAACAATAAGCAGGCAAGGGAGTGGGCACATGTGGGCATGGTACTTAGTAAAGGCGTTCAGTCACAATTTGGAATACAAACAGGTATTAATAATGCTATAATGTTCTCATCAGCATTTAGATTAAGGCCTCCTTAAGTCTCATGTCACGTGGACTAATTTTCTCATCCAATCCAATGCTTATCATAAAGGAACATTGGAGACGATAAGCACATGTGTGGCTAGCGCCAAGCTCCTTTAATCAAATGCCATAAGTATGCTGATTTATCATATGCCAGAATCTTATCTCTGTTCCTCAACCTTTTGTTTGAAGCTCTGTGTTCTTTCTCCAGAGCTTAGTCTTTTTGATTGGACATTGGCCTTCTGTACCACATTAAAGGTACATTAAAGGGACACTATAATCACCAGAAAACTACACCATAATGCAGTTGTTGTGGTGAGTATAGTCCATCCATGCAGGGCTTTTGCAGTAAACACTGTCTTTTAGAGAAAAGGCCTTTTCTATGGGAAAGGCATTGTGATTGACTGGATCACCACTTCTGATGCTGTCAGACAAGCAGGCAGATCAGGGGCAGAGTGAGCAGCAGCAGGCTGGAATAAAAGTAAGATGTTACTAGAGTTAGGGGAATGTGAAGGAGAGGCGGTCGGGTTTTAGATTGTGTTTTTAACAGTATAGAGTCAGGAATACATGTTTGTGTTCCTGGCCCTATAGTGTTCCTTTAAATTATGCTTACTACTCTTGAAGGCAATAGCATTGTTTTATAATTTTCTTATTTTGCACTTGTCTTGAACACAAAAAGCTGATTTTGCTTAAGTATACTTGTCCACATTCATTCAGCTTACTCTTCAGGTTTGCTAATTTGTGAGATTTGCTTTACTCACTCCTCAACCAATTTGAAGACACCTTGAGCCACATTGGTCGCTGCCATTCTTACATGGTTCACATTGCTGCTGTGGAAAATAGAAATCAGGACAGGTGAATTGCACATGGATTTGCATTCAAATTTATGTAGTTTGGGGTAAAAAGACAGTGCTATGGTAATTCTGTTTGGGTGCACATGACTAAACAGACTGTGCACACAAAAAAGGAGAAATAAAAAATATTCTTTGGTGACTAAGACCTTGGGGGAGCTTATAATTTCTGAATTTTGGTTCAAAGAGCGAACCTTTAATTAACAAGTATGGATTTCCACATTATAGTGTTACAATAATGTAGCCAACTGAATATAAAATAATAAAAAAATCAGTGTGTTGTTAAAAGACATACTGGCAAATAAATATGATAATCATGATTTTCTATATGCTGTGCATTAACTTGTATAGTCAAAGTTAGATTTTTGATGTCCACACTCCATTTGTGTCAGTGGCAGAAGCTGAACCCAATATCCTATCAAAATGAAATCATTCGGGTCACATGTCTCTTACTGAATATAATGCTGTACCCCACTTTGTGAAATGTTTAATCCCAATATTTAATTTACTCACAATAGAATTTACTGTATTCTGTGTTTACTGTGTTATAAATTAATATGTTTTGTAATAGCTCTCATTTAATAAAAATGCTCCTTTTGTTAAGTATATGGAGAGTATAGAGTTAGTGCCCCTTATTATAAGTGTCCCTTATTAGAGTCATTGAAATCTCTATTTTATTGTATTTTTTCAGAATTAAAGTTTATATATTATTTTCAGAACCAGAGTATGATTATGACGTCACTGATCGCATCCCTGAAAGAAATCAGATTTACAATAATCAGTTCCTCAAAATGTCCCAGGTTTGTGTATTAATTTTCCTTTAGCATCTTGACAGTTTTGATATGAAGATATGTTATTTGATATGAAGTGAATTACATTGAATTAAAAACAGAGCTTTAGAATTAAGGTTGAAGGGGATGATGTGGAAAAATCTCCAACTCAGATTTTTGGGGGGGCTATTTTAGTCTGAATTTTCAGATTTCAGTTCACCACAATTTTCTATTTAGTGAAGAAGAAAAAACTTTGGAATTGTTAAGTAAACTGAGAATTATCAATAATTGGTGAAGGAATTTCAAATTGTCCAATAAGTAATCAACTACATATTACAATTATAAACTGAATTCTTATTTCACCACATGTGTGAAAAGTTTTTTTAAATTCTTCACTATTTGAATGTTCGTTCAAGTTATATTTCTGTTATCGATAATGGATATCACAGTTCAGATGCCCATTCCACCCTCAGTAAATATTTATTTATGTTTAACTATTTTTGGAGATAAAAAATAATTCTGTTTCTTTGAAAGGTGAATGGCAGCCCGCAGAAAGCTGGGACCTTTAATTCCATATGCACTGTCATTGTACCTCTTCTGATGCGTTTACAGTGACACATCCATACAAATGTAAGTGTGGTACAATTTCAAGACTTCTAACATTTTCTCTGCTAAAATCATAAGTTTTGCTATTTCTAATTTGAAACTTTATCTGCTATATTACATAACTAATTAGGAAACATGGCTGTACAGAAGTTAAGCTAGATCTGGGGCAATTATTGTTTTGTTAGAGTCTCATAACTAAAAGGCTAAAAAAGGCCCTCCTATTTATTAAATATATGAACTACACAAAAAACAAGCACACTATTAAAAGGTCAGTCAAAGACCTTCTGCTTATTAAAGTGGTTTTGGTAAATAGATCATGCCCCTGACATCTCACTGCTCAATTTCCAGCTGTTAGGCATTTAAATTACTTTATTTCTGAAGCTTCTACAGGTGGTACTCAAAAAATTAGAATATCGCGCAAAAGTTCATTTATTTCAGTAATGCAACGGAAAAGGGAAACTAATATATGAGATAGACGCATTACATGCAAAGCAAGATAGTTAAAGCCGTGATTGTCATAAGTGCGATGATTACGGCTTACAGCTCATGAAAACCCCAAATCCACAATCTCAGTAAATTAGAATAATACATTCAATCAATAAAACAAGTAGTGTACATAGAACAAAATCGGACCTCTGAAAAGTATAAGCATGCATATGGACTCAGTACTTGGTTTGGGCCCCTTTTGCAGCAATTACTGCCTCAATGCGGCGTGGCATGGAAGCTATCAGCCTGTGGCACTGCTGAGGTGTTATGGAAGACCAGGATGCTTCAATAGCGGCCTTCAGCTCTCCTACATTGTTCAGTCTCATGTCTCTCATCTTTTTCTTGGCAATGCCCCATAGATTCTCTATGGGGTTCAGGTCAGGCGACTTTGCTGGAAAATGAAGTCAGCATCCCCATAAAGCTCATCTGTGGAAGGAAGCATGAAGTGCTCCAAAATCTCCTGGTAGGCAGCTGCGTTGACCCTGAACCTAATGAAGCACAGTGGACCAACACCAGCAGATGACATGGCTCCCCAAATCAACACAGACTGTGGAAACTTCAAACTGGACTTCAAGCATCTTGCAGTGTGTGCCTCTCCATTCTTCCTCCAGACTCTGGTTCCATGGTTTCCAAATGAGATGCAAAAGTTGCTCTCATCAGAAAAGCTTTATTGGTTTAAAACACACTCAAATATAAAATAAATAAAATATAATATACCAGATCAAGTTCTGGGTCAGCTGTATAGTCCAAACAAATGTCCAAAATATACAAAACGCGTTTCACCAGATAAAACAGGCTTCCTCAGTTGGCTTTGATGTGTCTCACTGCTTCTCTCCTCTCTTAAATCGCCCACTTAATCTGTATTTCCGGATTCCCCCTATATTCTTCTTTGACTTCCGGGTTCCATTTTCGGGCAGTTGGAACGCAACGTGTGTTCCATCACTATGTCGTCACTTCCTGGTACTCCTTCCGGATTCTGCTTACACTCTGGTGGAATGCATCGTGTGTTCCAACCTCTTGACGCCTCTTCCTCATGCACCACCCCTATGTGAGTCGCATTTCTATATCGGCTCATTTTAGCAAAAAAACTATTTATTACATGAGCAGTTCTCAGCACTAAATATGACATATTAAATATTAAATATGTACAATATAAATGCCTATCATGTGTATCTTCACAATTATTCGCTTATCCGAGCAAGTTCCAACTATTAAAGTTCTAAAAAGGGGCATACATCAATATTTAATAAAATAACAATGCATCAATGAATGATGATTGTTCTAAAATATTCTGGATAAAGATTCTATATTAAGACAAGGCAAATAGCATTAATAGTTTTTTTTTTTTTAAAAAGACGTACATTAATTTATGGCACGCCGTCACAAAAAATTTCATAAAAGTCAAAAATGTTCATTTCTTAAAACATTTTAATAAAAGAATAATACATTCAGAGGCACATATATCCATTCCCAAAACACAAATGTAATAAAACCAGTGTTTTAAAATATTCAGCTACTGAAACTTTGCATACCTAAAGCTAAAATGGTCAACTTTATAACACCAGAAGTTCTAAGAATGTTTACCCATTGGAGTATTTGCACATTTAAAAAAGGGTCAGTTGTTATTTATAAAACCTGGAGTGATAAAATGTCATATTGAAGAAAGTTAATTCATAAAATGGCATAACTCAAAATCTTAATTGAGCCCTTGAGGGGTCATAGTATTAAAATTAAAAATGAATCTAATTTCTTCCATTCCTATTTTTTTCGTGTAATCACCTCCTCTCCAACCCTTTTTAACTAGTTTGATGGCGCTAAAAAACATTCATTCGAAATTCTGGTTATGAGCTATTTTTAAATGGTTAGAGACACTGTGTGACTCCGATCCATTCTTTATATTTCTTGTATGCTCCGCTATCCTTACATATAGGCATCTGATTGTTCTGCCTATATAAAGGAGGTTGCATGGACATTTTAACACATAAATCACTCCTTTAGAGTGACACGTTAGGTGGTCTTTAATTAAAAAATGTTTATTTATTCAAGGTTCCATGTCTATTGTGTCGTTTTCTACTTTTTGTGTTCCTGCATGCTAAGCACTGCCCGAAGCCATAGAAACCCTTACTTTGATTTAAAAAATTTATTTATGGGTGTTATTTCCCTATTGCTGCTTTGTACTAAGGTGCTCTTTACATTTTTTGCTCCTCTGTAGATCATTTTAGGTTTTTCAGGTAAGATGTCTTTAAGAACCGGATCATCTCGTAAAATATGCCAATATTTATTCACAATTTTCTTTACTTTCTTGTGATTTCCATTAATGTTACAAATAAAGGGCATGTTATTATTTCATTTCTCGTTTTTCTTCTTATCTTTATATGTTAGGAGGTTCTTCCTTGGTATTGTAAGGACCTCTTCTAAAGCTGCCTGAAGTTTAATTTCGTCATACCCCTTTTGTAAAATTGAGCTTTTATCATAACTGCCTGTGCTATGTAGTCCTGATCATTTGAGCAATTATGCCTTATTCTTAAAAACTGCCCTCTGGGGGTGTTTAAGAGCCAGAGTGTGTGGTGGCAGCTCTCCTTCCTAATGTACCCGTTTGCATCAACTTCTTTAAAATGATTCTTCATCGTGATGCATGCATCTAGTATATTAATATCTAGATCTAAAAAGTTGATACCTTCTTTACTGATTTGTGCTGATAAAACAATGTTCCATTCATTGTTATTTAAAAATGAAATAAAAGTATTCAGATCTGTACTCGTGCCTGTCCAAATAAAAAATGTCATCTATGAATCCGCAATAGAACACAAAGATCGTCCCCCAGGGATGTCCCTGATCTACAAATCGCTCCTCCCAATATGCCATAAACAAGTTAGCGTAGCTGGGGGTGAACTTGGTGCCCATCGCCGTCCCCCGAATCTGGAGGTAAAAAGTGTTGTGAAACCAAAAAAAATTATTAGTTAAAATTAAATGAATGTCCTCTAAAATAAAGTCTATTTATCGAGTGTATTGTGGCCGGGTTGGCCACTAGGTGCATTTGTTAGCTGGCGTATTGGTGGGGTTCAACATCCTTATGTGGAGGTGTGGTTGGGGGCCGAAGTGGCCATGGTATCAGGTCTGGGGTCCCCTGGTGTTTGCAGCAACATCAATAACAAGTAATGTACAGGCACATTGTGTATTGGTCACTAGTATTTTTAGCGGTTCCAAGTTTTTTTTCTTGTTTATTTTTCTCCCCCCCATACCCCTTTCTCACCCCCACCTCCTTTTCCTCCAATCATCCCTTTCCCCCTCCTCTCCACCCCCCCTATTCCATCCCCCCCATCTCTACCCCTCCCTAGGCCTTCGCCCCTTGTGTCTCAAAACTGGTAAGGTTCCAGTTTTCCCCCATTCCTGTTATAACCCTCCCTCCCTTTCCGGGTTGTGTCTTCCCTTCATCCCTCACGTCCCCCTTCCCATTCCCCTTTATCTTGATGCCCGGTATAACTGTGGGGGCGCTCCTCTCAGTGGGGGTTTAAGTTGTTCCTGAGGAGTAAGGCCGGGGGAAGTCTCTCGTATCTGGATGAATGGTGCGGTGAGGCAGCGGTGGTGCGCCAGTGGTTATTTTATTAATGTGGCTTCTTTCCCTTCTGCAGTTGGTCACCCTGCTCCCCATTTCATCTCCTTTTCCCCCCCTGACTGTTCCAAATCTAGTTTCTGCTCCCCGTCCTTGGTCCCCGGCGTACCCCACATTTCCTGTCTCTCCTTGTCCCACCTCACTAACACCCCCCGTTGAACTGGCCCCTAGGTGTGTCTTCCCACTCTGTGTGGGCAAGTATACAAAACCCAGTTATAATAGGTCCCCCCCGCTACAGTCTCCTTGGATTACATTAGCCCATATTACATTACATTACTGTGAACTCAGTGGTGTGTTAAGAATCTTCTCTGGGCTCAGGTACCACATGCGGCTCACGGCACCTGCTGCTAGATGGCTGGTGGTCCCATCTTCGGGTCTGGCCATGAAGTGTATGTCCATGCGTCCCTGACAGGTCCCCAGGTGCTGGCCAGAACCCTGGTCCCCCTCCCCAATAAAAGTAGACTCCCCCTCAGTGTGATGATCGTTTGGTGTGTGGATGTAGCCAATGTCCCCATAAGGTGTAACAGTACTCACAGGTGTGCGTTGTGTCTCATGGTGTGTCGTAAGTACGTCTCCTCCTCACCAGGTCATGGGGTGGCAGGTTCAGGTGTTATTCCTCAGGTCCGGTCGGGCAGGGGTGCCAGGTCCATTGGCGTTGGGGCCTATCCCGGCCTAGATCACTGCCTGGCGGCGGTGGTGGGGGCCCTGTTGCTTGCTGGAGGAATTGGTGTGCGAACCAGCTCAGCACATTTGCGAGTGGAAGCCCCAGGGACCGTTGGAATCCTGGCACATCAGCAGGGGAACTTATGGTGTGGAATCTAGCCCCCTGTGGGTGGACAGTGAGAAGGGGTACACCCAGCGGTAGGGAATTCCTGCTGCCTGAAGAGCTGTCTTCACCGGTCGCAGGGCCTTTCTTGCCTGTAGGGTGTAGCAGGAAAGGTCTTGGTATATTGAGACGTTTAATTGTCATTGCAGATGGTGCCCATGCAGCGGGAGGTGCGTAAGATGTCCTCTTTTAAGTTG